CCCGCCCCTTCTCCCCCGCCCCCGCCCCCGCCCCGCTCCCGCGCGCCTTTAGCGGCGGCGGCGGCGGCGGCCCCTCGGAGCATCGCGGGGGAAGCGGAGGTGGCGGCCGGCGGCGCCGGGCGCATTGCATGGGGGCGCCGGGGCTCCCCGCCTCCCTCGCTGCCGGCCGCTGGAGCGGGAGGAGGGGGCGGCGGCGGCGCCGGGGGCCGCCGCCCGGGTCGCGATGAGCGGCCAGAAGGCGGCGGGGGGCGCCCGAAAGCGGAGGATGGCGGCGGCGGCGGCGGCGCTGCTGCTCTGCAAGGGCCCCCGCGCGCGGCTGCCGGTGGGCGCCAGCGCGCTGGGCTTCTTTGTCCTCTGCTGGCTCTACGTCTTCCCGGTCTACCGGCTGCCGGACGAGAAGGAGATCGTGCAGGGGGTGCTGCTGCAGCAGGGCAGAGCTTGGCGGAGGAACCTCACCGCGGTCGCCGGCTTCAGGTGAGGCGGCGGGTGCCCCGGCCGTGGCTCCCCCCGTATCGCGCGGGCGGGCGCGCGCGCGCGCTCCCGGACCACCCTCGGTCCCCCGCTCCCCTCTCGCGCAAAGGATGTGGCCGTCGTGGCTAGTCCTCATGATGACTCGCCCGTGCATCCTGCCCTTCCTCGCGCTCTGTGATCATCCTCCTCAGACTCGATTCCGCATAGCATGCGTTTTCTCTGCAAAGTTCTTTCCCTGACGATCGGTTTTAAAAAATGCAGGCGTATCGAAGTTTGGAAGGATTGGGATTCTTGTTTGGCTTCCTCGGTCCCCTCTATGGGAACGCGCGCGCGCCCCGGGTTCCATTCTGGGATCCGGACCTGCCACGGTTCGGTAGGGCTCGGTTTTGCACCCTTGCGGGTCTTTCAGGAAGGCCTGCCAGAGATCCAGTCTGGCTTACCCCGAAAGGCTTGCAGCCGGGATACTCCTGCATGGGCTGGCATTATATAATCTTAATGTGCTCTCTGTTAAATCGGAATCCCCGAGTTAGTGGTAAAGTGGGGACCAGAACTGGATCCCAGGAAACTGCTGCCCGGTCCCTTATTCTTTGTCCGGCCACGTGGCCTGAGGTGTTGCCCTAGCCTTGGATTTGCTCCAGAATCCTGTACTTCGAGATATACTGCATATGAACATGGAGGCTTTATTTCCATACCATGAAAAGCACAATGCCACATATGTTTAGTGGCTGCAGCATGCTGGGAACTATAAAACTTCTCTAGGTCTAAACATGCATCGGGTTGCATAAGAGACCTGGCCTTCACAGATGATCAAAAAAACACCTGCACTCTTTTCCCCCTTTGTTTAGTCTAAGGAATTGATTTGGATTTTATGCGGTGTGTTCATACCTTGTCAATATTCGTAATGCTCCCACAGTCTGTAGTAAAGATACCAGAGACTCCAGTGTGGCAAAATGGAAATAGAATTTTCTGTAAGGTCCAGTTATCGATTTTCTACTACAGGCTGCAGGAATCGCTGACAAAGAAGTGTGCTTGGCTTTCATGCTATCAGTTTGAACTTTGTTATGTTCCACGATGAGAAACTTGAACAATTTAATCAGTGAAACGGGGACTTCATGTGTGATAGGTTGAGGCAACTGGAATTAAGCTTGAAGCATCTAGTTTTCTGAATGCCGTATAATGAAACAAATACCTTTTGTGGGAATGGGTGCGACACCCTGAATTTCCTGAAGAACAACTTTATTGGGTGGTCCCATGGTCCAGTTTTCAGAGAAAATCGCACATTATTCTTACTCTCTTCTGTGCTCACTACCCATAATATTGCATATCTCTGCCATATCCACATTTAAGAGGAAGCAAACCTGCCTCTTATTTGGCCTGGCACTTTTTGTATCTGGAGGTAAGAAGATTTTGGCTTCTAGTTGAATTTATTCAGATCACTGATACTAGATTTTTAAAAACTATTTTTAATTAGTCCATTGTTAACTGTTCTAACCCTTTAAAATGGGATGGGCTGCATCTACAAAATGCATGGCAGGATGAATCGGGACTAGGAAAGCATCCTATAAGGAAAGATCAAGGAATGAGGCATATTTAACCCAGAGAAGAGAAGAGAGATTGGGCAATAGATTGTATGTTTCCAATACTTAAACAGTTAACGAAAAGTGTCTCGAGCTTTTGTAAGTCATCCAAACTGTCAGACACAAGAATAATTGAGTGTAGGTTAAGGTAGGAAGACAGATTTCAGGTGAACATAAGGTAAAAAGCTTCCTAAGAACCAGTACAGGTAGACCATGGAACCACCTGTGTGCGGAGTGGTCTCTAATCACTAGGAGCTGCGTAAGCAAAGGCTGGACAGGGATGCTTTGAACTGGGTTCCTTCCCTGAGCAGGGGTTGGCGGAAATGCCCTAAAGGCTTCTGCAATTTGGCTGCTTTCGTGATCGTACCTGTGAAGAAAGATCGGATTCCTTCGGCCTGTTCCCACTTGTTGCATTTGCCGCGAAGATGCTGCTTTCTAGTTGCTTACCATGTGCACGTGCACGAATGCATCGGATAGACACGTGTCGGGTTTGGTGGCAGGTGCCCACCTGCATTACGTCTACCTAGTTACCTGCAGCTTTTCCCCACTTCCCGCTGGTGGGGTTCCCTGGGACATAATCCACTGTGCAAAGAATGTAAATGCAAACTAGAACAAATGGCAATCAAAGCCACATAAAATGCAGCAACATAAGGAAAGGCATGGCACCCTGGAATTAAACACAGAGATTTTAAAACCAAAGGCTTGGTGTTAAAGGCAGGCTTATTTTTCTTCTTAAAGCTTTAGTACAAGCATCGATTCTGATCTGTTCCCTGTGCACGGCAGCCAGAGTGGCTGACAGAGCAGTTGGGCACTGTGGTCAAAGCACTCCCTTTGAGTTAGCAAACATGAAATGTAGGACTCCTGATACTTGAACTAGCCCTTGGTGCATCAGGCCCAGTGTTGCAGGCACGGGCTGGCAGCAGTGGCTGTGCGGGGTTTCGGGCTGGCTTCTGTCCTGGCCTGAACCAGGGGCTTTGGGCACGCAGCATCCTTTGCAAGTGCATCTCCGTAGTGGCCCGGTGGGTCGAGTGTGCATGCAACTTGCCTAACTATCTGGACAGGCCGGTGCGGCTGCTCCGTTGTCTCAGGCATGGGTCTGGGAGCAGGAGAGTGTTTGTGGCAGGGTGTTGGAGATCAGACTGCATGATTGGTACCTAGGCATGTGGGAAAAAGGAGACGGGCAGGGTTGTACGTTTGGAAGATTATGGGTTCCGTTTTAAGTCATAGCCTTGCTGCCTCTCACGCTAAAAATTGTGTTTCAGTCCACCCAAGAGAGAGGAGGAGAGAGAGAGAGCAGGGATAGGATCAAGTACAAGAGGGTTTTGACTCATGTACAAACGTTTCTGAATCAGAAAAAAACAAAACAGGCTTCTGTCAACGTGGGATTTGGGCAACTTACTCCGTATCAAGAAAGTGCAACTGCCAGAGAGCTTTTAATCGCAGCGCTTCACATCTTAGCAATGAAAAACTAGACACCCGGAGGTTTAGTAAGGAAAAGGAAGTGCCTCTCGTGGATCTCCAAGAAAGGAGTTGGCTCTTCTTAGCAAAGTGATTGGGCATAAAAAGAAGACCTGCGTATAAATGGATTGGGCCACTACGTTTGCATTAACGGACCATACTTGTTGAGGATGATGGGTGTTGTGGTCCAACACCTCCAGAGAGTGGCAGTTTGAGAAAGGCTAGGCTAAGCCATGGGGGCTGTTAGCACACTTTTTATAACGTTGTGCTTGGGCTGGAGGAAGCGGGAAGAGCTCGGTCGTCCAGTGGCATTGACTATGTCATGGGGCAAGTGCGAGGAAGTCCTTTTTCACCCAGTGCAGGCAGTCAGTGAAACCAAGGGAGTTTTCAGTCAATTTGCCCCTCCTTTCTGAAGCATCAGGAGTCTTGCTGAACTTGCATTTCTTTCATCACAAATGTCCCGTATCAGGAAATACCATCTTTTGCTGATGGCAGTTTTATTCTGGGTTCGTGGGTTATTTTGGCTAGGTTTTTTATTAAATTTTTTTGTGTTTTAATGTAAGCTTCTTTGAGTTAATCTGTGTTGGGGCCAAAGACAGAATATGAACAGTTTGGTAGCATCAATAAATGAGATCAGTGTGCTAATATTTTAAAAAGAGATTGCATCGTATTGTTTGTTAATGAGAGAAGTCTGGCTGCACAGTGAGCAAGTATAATCCTTGAGAACACAAGACTGGTGCTCGAGGCTTCCTTTTTAAGAGGAGAACTGACATGTAGGGAAGGTTCTGGAAGATTTCCCAGGGGATTAGTCCCAGCTCATGAGGAAGAAATCACTGTTTTGCTGTCCCATAATGTGCAACTCGATGAGGGCTTGCCAGTGAAATTGGCGCATGCTTCACCCGGTCTGTGAGGGTGGGACTTGCGCCCGTTCAAGTTGGTGGGCACAGGTGTGAGTGTATACTGTGGTGCCTTGGCTCACAAAGGCCTTGGTTCACAACCGAATCGCGTCATGAACAAAAATTCCATGGAAATTTTGACTTGGGTCGCGAACTCCGCATTGGGTGGCGACTAAGATCGTGGCCGTCTCCCTGCCCCCCGAGTGGGGAGATGGCCACGCTCACAGTCGCGTTCGTGCAGGGAAGACTGGCGCCATCTTGGCCATCTCTCTCCCCCCCGCAACCAGCACGATCGTGGCCGTCTCCCCCCCGCCCCCCCCGAGTGGGGAGATGGCCACGATCGCAGTCGTGTTCGTGCAGGGAAGACATGGGGGAGCTTGCTGAACTCCAGAGTGAGCAGCAACAGGGACTTGCTGAGGAGGATTCCACTGAGGAAGAGGAAGACGGGGAGGAGGTGAGCAGGGATGTGATACAATCCATTCTGCAAAAACGGAATGAGTGCCAGGATGTCTTTGGGAAGCACCACCCCAGCAGAACTGTGACGAACAGAGTGTTGAATCTGACGAACGATACCGTGGTCTCTCATTTCCGGAGGGTCGTGCAGCGCAGGAAAAAACAAGTGACTATAGGCAGATTTTGCACCAGAATTGACCCTGCAGCTAAGAGACAAAGAAGAGAGGACACCCCTGAAGGAGATCTCCCCAGTGTCCTTATGGAGGGGGGCTCTCCCTCGAAACAATAATCCCCCCCCCGCCACCCAGGCTAGTGTTCTCCACTGCCCTGTACAGCACTTTGTCACTTGGTTGTTCTTTGTCACTCGTTTCAAATTTTTCTGATTAAAAAAAATAGTTACAGAACGGATTAACCTTATTTCCATTGAACCTTGTGGGGAAATTTGACTTGGGTCACAACCAGTTTGGGTCACAACCGAGTCGTGGAATGGATTAAGTTCGTGAGCCAAGGTACCACTTCTGCAAACTGGCTGCTCTCTCACGATGCATCTGCCCGAGCAACTCAGCACCTGGTGCCTGCATGCAGGCCGCCTCGGCTAAAGGAAGGGCACCTGGCCAGC